TGATCTTATTCTTGGCTACATCTCTACTCTGATCTCATTCTTGGCTACATCTCTACTCTGATCTTGTTCTTGGCTACATCGTCCTGATCGTGTTCTTGGCTACATCGCCCTGATCGTGTTCTTGGCGACATCGCCCTGATCTTGTTCTTGGCTACATTGCTGCCCTGATCTTGTTCTTGGCTACATCGCTACCCTGACCTTGCTCTTGGCTACATCGCTACATTGATCTTGTTACTGGCTATATCGCCACTCTGATCTTGTTACTGGCTACATCGCCACTCTGATCTTATTACTGGCTACATCGCTACCCTGATCTTGTTATTGGCTACATTCCTACCCTGATCTTGCTATACACTCTTCCAAAGAGTCCACCATCATCTTGTGACACAGGTTACAGGAATTGAAAGTGATCACAGTAATGACGTGACACAGGTTACAGGAAGTGAAAGTGATCACTGTCATCTCGTGGCACAGGTTACAGGAAGTAAGAGTGATCCCAAGCCTGTAGAACCAGACAGTGTTAATGAAGGCTCGGTAAGGACCAAATGTAACGTGAAGCTTGGTTTAACTGTTCGCGTGCTCTAACTAATTCGTGTACCGGTATTAAAGCAGCGGTTCTAAAAGAGTCCACGCCTAACTCAACACCTGGTTACGCTACTATGATCCACACCGTAAAGCTGGGGGTGCCCACGCACACCTTGATCGGGGCCCATTTGTAACGGGAACCGGCCAATCAAATTAAGGGTGCCCGGAAAAAATAAAACAGAGGAAAGGGGAACGGTCATGCTGGAGTGTAGGGGGGGGGGTGATTTGTTAGTGTGGTGGTGTCCACGGCGTCTGATGGATATGGTGGTAGTGGTGGTAGTTGTAGTGGTGTGGTGGCGTTGTGTGGTAGACGACTGCAATAAAAGATATGAAGGAAAAAAAAGTTTAACAAAAAATAAATCGTTTTTTAGTAAAAAATAAAATAAAAAATACAGCTCTCAAACAAGAGTCGATTAATAAATTTAGATAAGAGTAGATATTGACATGGGTTTAAACGGCGACTAATCGATTCTGTCATTTAAGAATCACCCATGCCAGATGCATGGTTTGTAGCAAAGAAATGAGGTGGCTAAAGAGTGAATGTAAATACTGAACCATTCTTAGGCAGGGGAACCTCCCCAGCACCCCCCACCCCTGAAATGACTGAAAAAATCTGCTCATCGGGTGAGAAGTATCAGAGTTGTCCTGCACTGAGTGACATATCCTCCCCACCCCCACCCCCCACCCCCCCTAAACCACCTCAAAACCCCCGACGTGACGTAAGACTAAAAGAAATTGGAACAGACTCAAGCCGGGCCCGCCCCAAAAATCAATTCCGAAAACCTAGCGCGCGAGCCTCGCTTGTAAAAAGAAATTTAAAAAAGTGGGTCACCGGGGCTGCGACCTACTTCGAGCCCCTGGAAAGACGAGCTAATGAGAGCAAACCGTGACCTCGATCCCGCGCCGTGAACTTTTCGTCTGTCTCACACCGCCACCGACCGAAGACGTATCGACCTCAGCGACGAGAGAACTGAAGACGTATCGACCTCAGCGACGATAGAACTGAAGACGTATCGACATAAGCGACGATAGAACTGAAGACGTATCGACGTGAGCGACGATAGAACTGAAGACGTATCGACCTAAGCGACGATAGAACTGAAGACGTATCGACCTCAGCGACGATAGAACTGAAGACGTATCGACCTCAGCGACTATAGAACTGAAGACGTATCGACCTCAGCGACGATAGAACTGAAGACGTATCGACCTCAGCGACGATAGAACTGAAGACGTATCGACCTCAGCGACTATAGAACTGAAGACGTATCGACCTCAGCGACGATAGAACTGAAGACACTCAAAAGGGAAACGACTCACGCACATAGGCTATTATACCGTCTCGGTTGTCGGATCTATTTTTAGCCCATTAACGTGCATAAGACGAGTTAAGTATGCATATGCGTCAAATTTAGAACCGCCTAAAATACACATAATTTGTTATTTCTAAACATTCTCATGCAATCCTCATTAAAAAAATTATTTGTTTTGTGTTTGAGAAGTGCTACCAACTTTGGTAACTGAATGGAGGAACCGAGTTGTTGGGTAGAATAAATGAGAGACAGACGTCACCAGTGGTGAGCTGACACTACGGAAAGGGGGGGGGGGGGGGGGGGGGGGGAAGGGGTTCTTTGAGTACGTGCATTTTTCCGGTCAGGATCTGTCGGTAGTCGGTGCGGTTAGTAATCGTTGGTAGACTCGGCCTCAGGTGGGTGGTGTCGCCACACAGGTGGGTGGTGTTCACTTAGAATGTTCATATTGTACCTTTACTTTTGAAAGATGGACAATTTGTAATTGATAGTCACCCCTCACCCCCCTCCCATTTCACCCAACCACCCCCATCCCCCATTTTAAAATATCAAGGATCCGCCACTGGTCAATGATTATAATATGGCGTGAAAGAGTTTTGGGCAGACGATTAAAATTGTTTCGTCGTATACGCATGGCTGATAACTGTCATGGTTCAGTGATTGCGTCTGATGTCACTGAGCGTGATTATGTGAGCATTTGGAGGGGGGGGAGCTGTGAGTGTATACTCTCTTAAAAATTGGAACTGCATTTTATATGATTGAATAGAAATGTACATGTCAGTAAGTTGTACTTACTTTGGCCGTGATGTGTACATGTCTATTCGTGAGTTGTGTACATGTCTTTTGGTGAGGATATGTACATGTATATTGGTCAGATGTTTACATGTCTATTGGTGGAGAGGTGTACTTGTAGATTAGTGAGATGTGTACATGTCTATTGGTGAGATGTGTACTTGTCTGTGCGTGAGATGTGTACATGTCTATTGGTGAGATGTGTGCAGGCCTATTGGTGACGTGTACATGTATAGTGATGATATACTGTACTTGTCAATAATGTGACAGTATATAGTGATAGCGTGTATGATTTTTGTGTATATAATTGTCTTTTTTTTCCTACTTACCCCTCTGTGGTTGCAAGCGCCCGTTGTGATGTATCATTTAGCGGGTTTTAGAAAACCAAAACCCAACCAAACAAGCGCTTTGTGTGAATGTGCTACTTATCTACAACGCCAGCTGCCAGTATCCATTTTTGTTTTCCAGACGCCAACATATGAATATAAGTACAAAGAATCGGTTCAATGAAAGATGATATGTCTGAATATAATACCATGATAGGTCAAACAGCGAGAGAGACACACACACACACATACAGTCATTTGAATGGTAAAAAGGAAAATGGTTGGTGCTGGCATTGAAGCAAAATAGACGTAGAAGCAGGAATTAAGGTGGTCGGGCTTTGCATAATGTTATACAAAAGATATGAATATGGGGGGGGGGGGGTGGGGGATGGTTTGAAAGATTTATTGTTGTTGTTGTTGTATATGTCGGGTAAAAGAGGCGACATGGTGTTAATAAATGGATAAGAGCAGCACTTGATTGAGATGGTGAAACCTTGGAGTTTTTTTTTATTTTTAGGCAAGGGGTTTGTGGTGTGACAGTCTGACATGATTAATGGGAGAGGGGGGAAAAAATATATATGGTATGACGAGTGATATATTCATAATGGCGAAACCATGTATTACAATAGTGGACGATGATCAAGTGTTGAGGGTGGTATGTAAAAAAAAAA